CTATCCCCTCGGAAGTCTCCGTTTCTCTTGCGATGGACTTAAGTTACTCCACTGTGTTCAGGGTTTTCCATATATGTAGGACAAGCAGCTTTCTGAATTCTGTTAGAATATAAATACCATCATCAGAGAGTGCGCATACCCATGCTGCAGAAGATTACCCCTACATTCCTCAAGGAAAGCCAAGAAGGTTGATCACATGGATCAGGATTCCAGATTCTTTACATCTGTAGCAATGAGCTGTGCTGTTAGGAAGTATCAAAACATCCATTTAAGGTTCAAAAGGGTTATGTCAAATATTTGTAGCCTAATCTGTGCAGTAAATAGTAAAGGCTAAAAGCAAACTGTATTGAGGCTAGATAAGAAATAGCCACAACTTCCACGTCACAATTTTAGTTGTTAAGAACTGCTTAGTTTTAATTATTTAAGGCTAAAATTTTGTCCGCTGATTTTATAACTTTGTTATAATGCTTAAAAATATATTCCCATCTGAACTTACATGTATTTGTTCTGTATAATACTTAGCAGAAGTAATACAGAATAATACAAATAAGAAGATATAAACCATAACATACTGAAAGAGATTAACCTAAATATTTTTGTGTGTTTTAGGCAGTAGAAGAGCTGTTTAACCTCATGCAACTATTTGTAGCTCAGAGACCAGACATGAGAGAGGAAGAGATAGAAGATGTAAAGCAATTTAAGAAAACAACCATAAGCTGTTACTTGCGTTGCCTGGATGGACGGTCTTGTTGGACTACTTTAATAAGGTACGTTAGTAGTGAAGTGGTAGTGTAATAATTTAATACTGTTTGAATAAGAACTATATTTTACCAAATGTGTGAAGTACAATAAAAATTAGTGTTGTTATTTTGTAACTCTTTTTGAAAAAGTTTTGTGGATACTTTCATTCAGAAGTAAGCAAACAAAAAGTTGCAATTTTAACTTTTTTTTTTTCCAAAATCCATGTTTGTGAATATAATTTATTTTAGACTGTTTCATCATCTAAAAATTCATAAATTAAGGAAACGTTTTACAATAAACAGTTGTAAACCAAGATGTATCTTGTCATGGTTCAAAAAGAGACACTCTGACAAAACTGCATTAGTAGAGCCCTTCCAAAAAACCTACACCCAAATCAATCAATGCTCTAATTCAGTATTTAAGCTGAAATTCCATTCTCAGCCTACCATGGTTAGTCTATATTGGCAAAGCAGTAATTTCAGCTGCTGTTGCTGATGTTTGTTATTCTTTGGCAGAAAAATTTTTTAGAATTTGTGCCTGTGGGACAGAATTTTATTGTATTGTATCTTCAAATAGTTTTTCATTTCTAGTATATTTTAGTGATGCATCTGAGACTGCTGCTTGGGTATTTTCAGTATAACTATAAATCGCCTGTGTACGTAGGTCAGGTATTGGGGTTTTAAGTACAACTGCAGAACTCTTTTGAAAAGGGAAAAAGGCCCGTGTTACATGCAGTCATCTGTTAGAAAGCTCAACTGGATTTTCCCAAATGCTCTGGAAGAATTGTTATGTTGAGAGGAATTGTTCATTAGCTACGCATAATCCTTTCTTGTCTGTTGTGCTGTAAGAACATTTGTACATTTAAAAGTTCAAACATGTGGTTAACTGGACCTGTTTAAATGTATAATTTGACAAGCATCTACTTCTGTCTTTTGAAGTACATTATTTTCTTCAGTTTTTAGAGTTTTTGCAGACATTATTTGGGAAATATTTCTATAAAGATTGTTTATAAATTACTTCTAATAACCCAAAGTTGATATAAAGGATGTCAACATTTTTAAATGAAAAAGTGGGGAAAAAAATAAAGAGAATAATTATGTTCTTTTAGGCTTTCTTTCTTCTTCTGTGATTATTTTCCAAAGTACAGCAGCATGAGTATAACAATTTTAAGCATTTGTATGAATTATGAAAAGTTGATACGTAATTTTCAGTGTTCTTAATGTTTGGATTTTTTTCCTAGTGCCTTCAGAATACTATTAGAATCTGATGAAGACAGACTTCTTGTTGTGTTTAATAGAGGATTGATTCTGATGACTGAGGTAAATACTTTCTTATTGAAATATTGAATTATAATAAACATCATGCTTTCTCATCAAGTCATCCCTTCCTTCCTGACAAAGTGTTTGCTTTAAATTATTTCAGTATGGTATCATATGAAAATGTATGAAATATGTTTATTAAGTACTGGCATACATGTAAAACCTTAAAATCTTAAGGATCATAGGAAGGACAAAAAAAGATTTACCTGACATTTTCTGTGTCTAAACACTAATGTAGGAGGTTAAGTGAGTAAATGTGAGGCAATACAAATCTTAATACAGGATAAAGATAACAGGTTAGTTGTTAACAGTGATTTGGTAGGATATCTATAAAAGGATGTAGCTTAAATAGGAAAGATGAGCAAGAAATAAAAGGGTGATGTGTCATCTCATATATCAAGGATAGACACACTTCCTCTGAGGTTCATAATGAAGAGCAAATTAGGTCTACTGAAAAATTTGAAATTAGCAAGAGATGTCATGAGCAGTAAGAAATCAGTCTTGGTTTTCTTCACACAGGTACTTCCCCAGTAGTCTTTAATAAGATTTCTTTAGTAGTAAAAAGATCAGGAAAATGTTTGCCTGTTTCTAATACAGAGGGGAAGCCACCAGCAGATTATGCTGCGAGGAATGAGTTTATGCTTTTTTGGTGTCATTCTCTTTTTTACAGATGAACTGTGAGTGAATGGCCGAGCACAGTCACACAATTACTACCAGTTGAGAAGTGTTAAGGCAACGGGTTAAAATACAGAAACACACAAACTAAATTTCTTTCTGATGAAACTAAACCTAAAGATGCATTTCTGAAGCACGTATAGTGTATTTCAGTTGTAAATGGGTATTTGGTCCATGAGACCAGACCAGAGTTAGTTCAAAATAGAGAGGGAAAAAAAAGAGTAAATAACGCAGCCCTGAAATGGGAGCAGTTTGGATGTCAAGCCTCTACCTACCAACAGTTTAATGCTACAGACCCATTCATACTGTCCTGGAGTAATGTGGGAAAAGCCTAAAAGGCATTGCTGAAAAAGCTCTGAACTGTTAGTGGCTTTTTTAAGATGAGTGAGATACCAGAAGACTGAAAAAGGGTTTTTTTTTTTCTTTTGTCCTTCTTAAAATGGGTGTAAGAGCTTGGATTCTATTCAACACTTCCATTATAGAGTTTGCTGATGGACTAGAGAGAGTTTATTAAATATACTGGCAACACAAAATGGGGAGGGACACTAGGTCCTTTTGAGAACAAGAATAAAAATCAAGATGGTCTGGATGTGTTGGAGAAACAGTGTACAAATAAAATGCAATTCATTCTTGCCATATGCAGAACTGTGTCTTCACGGGGGGAAAACAGCCTGGTAAAAATCCATGGTGCAAGACAACTGGCTAGGAAGTGGTAGTAGCCATACAGTAAATGGGATATTGGAATAGATCGTTTCAGAAGGTGTCAGCCAGCACAACTGGAAGTTGAGGACTTTGAGCAAACAGCTGTCAAGGCTGTAAAGATATTTAGTCTGCCTTAAGGCGTGTGGATGGACTAGATGGTGATTTGAGGTTGATTCCAACCCCATTTTTATATGTTTTATATAAAAAATTCTCTTAACTTTTTTATGTCACTAGTTGGTATTTTCTGGGACAAAGTGTGACAGAAAAAGTTGGAATTGCAAAATCAGTTAGAAAAATAAAAATTAAGACACTGCAGTACTGTTTGAAAATTGAGTTTTCATGAGTTTGTTATAAATGTAAGCCTTTTGGATTAACTAGTTAGTTAGCTTACATTCAGTAAACTTGGGCTAAAAAGTTAGGAACTGAGCTATAACTTCATGTGTGAAACTCCTAAGTAGACTAAGATACATACATATGTAAGAATAAAAAGAAATTGTTTAACAGCTTAGCCCTGATCCATACTAACAATGGATAATTAAGTTGATAAAGAATGTGTAATATAAGCTGCCATTCATCCTATGTAAAACATTGCTAGAAATTAGGTAAAACTAATGTTGCTTTACAGCTTAAAATTACCAGGCCTTATATTTTCACTTGTTCACTGGAAGTGTTTTGCATGGTGAAAAATACCGCATCAAGCAATTGTCACATCCAGCAAAGTTTTCCACTTATCAGGGTTGGCCTGTGTCTTTTATCTTCACTATAATATAAAAATGGCATTTCAAGTTTTTGCATTATAGGGAATGAGATTACTGTTTCTTTATCTTTAAAATATCCCAGCAGATTAAATATATTTTCTTACATCTTCTGCTAGAATTTTTGCAGTTTGGAAATGAGTTGCTTTTCCTACCCAATATTTCCATAAATCACAGATGCCCAGAAGGTATTCTCATTATAAAAGGAGAAGTAATTTATCTGATGTACAATCATATAGCACGTGTCCTTAGTGTTTTGAAAAATGACTAGCATCTACATTAATCTACTGTTTTTTCCCCGAATTCACATACCCATGTCTGTCTTTGTGTCTCTAATATCACTTTGTGTGTTCGCAAGAAAAGATTGTGATTACAGATACATAAAAACACTGTGCCTCAAATTATGCTTTACTTGTTGGGTTTTACATAGATGTTATCTGTGAAAACTTTGTAATTATTTTGAGCCAAAGATAAGTGAAGTGGTAGGCGACCTGACTCTCACTAGTATAAAGCTTTTACCTTGAAAACAAATGCAGGCTGTTCTTAAATGCCCTCTCTGTGAGATGTACTGGATGTGCTCACAAAACAGCTCATTTCTTGAGTTGAGATGGGTGATAGCTACTTGTAGAGCAGTTATTGGTATAATTTTAGAAATTCTGTTTCTCTCTGGCATGCATATGAGAAAAATTTAATGTGACTCTAGGTTTTGGATTAGGTGAGAAGGACAAAAATCAGCCTTATGACCAAAAGCAAGTTACAATGTAAACCCCCATACGAGACTACCTGTTGTCCATAGTTACCAAAACTGGACGTGCAGCTCAACAATGATATTTGGTTGTTATAAAAGATACCTGCTTGTTCATGTGTTCTCTCTTTCCTTCTCTCTTTCTGTCATTTCTTAAATGTTGTTGTCTTGGAGTAATTTTGTGATGACATCTAGCATGGTATATTTTGATACATCTTGTTTGAGCAAAAATTATGTGTAAGAAGTGGTATCTGTAGGATAGAAATAGAAAAGTGTGTTAATCTGGCAACATAAAGTTTTGGCATTTTTTTCTTTATAGTCCTTTAACACATTGCACATGATGTACCATGAGGCCACAGCTTGCCATGTGACTGGAGACCTGGTAGAGCTTCTGTCTATTTTCCTTTCGGTTCTTAAGTCAACACGTCCGTATCTTCAAAGAAAAGGTTTGATTATAACCCTTCAAAGGATTATGCCTTTTGCCTGTTAATTAATTTTCATGACCCCGAACCTACTATTTTTGTGTTTAAAAACTTTCCATACGGTAGGAGGTATGATAAACAATTATAAAATTGTTACTTATTTACTGACATAATAGGAAGGTAGATTAAGTAAATGTGAGATTTAACAGTTTTCTAGATTGATTAAATCATCCTAGAGGAAAAAGAACTAAACAGATTGCTTTGTGGTTTTGTGTTTGCAGATGTGAAGCAAGCTCTCATTCAGTGGCAGGAGCGAATTGAATTTGCCCATAAGCTTTTAACTCTGCTGAATTCCTATAGTCCTCCAGAACTTAGAAACGCTTGTATTGGTAAGTCGTAACAGTGTAACTGTAGTCAGGCAGGACCTGTTCTACGCAGTTACCTGCTTTGAAATTTAAATTACATTTTTGCAAGTGCAAATGTGTACTAATACTCTGTAGCTTGGGATTGCTTATATTACTATTGTTAGTACATCAGTATTGCTGCTGTTCCTATTCTAAATAATTCAGTTTTCTTCAGGTTAAAATTAATATCACTACTTCCCCAGACATGCAGACTGTGTGCACAGAAAGTCAGCCTTCATTTTGAGAGGCCAGTTTGCTGCCTGAGTTTTACCTTAAGTTTAGAATCAAATCCCATATCTTAGATTAAAATTCAAATTATTATACTGTCTGAAAAACAGCTTTTAGTGTTTGTTTTTATGATCCGTTACTGGAAAGTATAATAATGAAAGTAAAGCTTAAACAGCTTGTAGAATGTAATGGATTTGCTTTTTAAAATTGTAGGCGTAGACATTGTATAGAAGTGTCTCTTTTGCATTAGAAGACCTGTTTCAAAAAGTTTTTCTAGTTTAGTTTTTTTAATATTATTTAATGGATATAATCTGCATTTTATGCATGCTGACAAAGGCCTAACTGTGTCCAAATTAAACCATTTTTTGTGTGATTTGTATGCATTTTCCCCTTATTTTGAGTGCCTTTCTCATCCTCCTGACTGCTGCTGGTTGACATTTTCCAGGCATCATACCTGATATGTTTAAGAAGAAGGAAAGAGGGTAATTTTATTGACCTCCTACTTTCTCCACACTGGCACCCCTCTCACTGGTGGTTGATCTACCACTGAGCAGGTTTTCTCCAAGTGGCAGAGGTGGAGGGAATCTTGACTGATTCAGAGGTGTTCACGTTACGTGCTGTTCACAGCAGAGCCTACCTCCACGCTGCATGCTATGTGCAGCAAAGCAATAGGAAAAGAGAGTTTGCAAATGCATGAGCCTGAAGTTAAACTGTTTGCTGTTAAGAAATAACAATATGTAATAGCAAAAACAACTTTCTGTTTGTAGATGTCCTCAAGGAGCTTGTACTTTTAAGTCCTCATGATTTCCTACATACTCTGGTTCCATTTCTACAGCACAATCATTGTACATACCACCACAGTAATATCCCAAGTAGGTATTTCAGTGATTGTATTTTGAAGTTCTCTTACACTATTATTATTCTATTGTGTTCCTTGCTGATATCAAATATTGACCTTTTAATATATCCATGTTTTATCCGAACTTACACTACAGTGTCTCTTGGACCTTATTTTCCATGTCGTGAAAATTTGAAATTAATAGGGGGAAAAAGCAATATTCGTCCTCCACGTCCTGAACTTAATATGTGCCTCTTGCCTACAATGGTGGAAGCCAGCAAGGTATGTAAATGTGTGGTCTTATCAATAGCTATTCCTCTATTGTTTTCCCTTTTACAAAAAAGTGTTACAAGAATCTAGTAGCATAAAGCATTTACATTTTCTTTGAAAACAAAGCATAATTCTTCTTCAAGATGTGTTGTCCTCATATACTCCATTCTAGATGTGCACTCCAGAAGCACCATTTCCCTGCCCTTGGTGATACACAGCTTCATATTCCAGACATGATAAGAGTTTGAACCTTGTATTCAGAAAAAAAGCAAAGCACACCTTTTGATAATCTTCCAATCTGTTTGTGGCATTTATAAAGAAAATTCAGGAACTGCCCAGGGGTTGTTCAGATGAGTTTCAAAGTACGTTAAGATTTATTACCAGAGAGCCAAATAGGTCTTCCAGGTTTCATTAGGTCCATTCCACCAGGACTAAGGCATAATCTACTATTTGTTTGGGTAAAATACCAGTACCTGAAGTATTGTAGAGGGCTTTAAGTCTTTTACTTTCCATTTTCCCTTCTGTGGGCTTCCTGATGGGATGCCAGCTTCGGTGGGGCTACTTCGTAGTCACTTGCCAGGTCCCATTATTACAGTTACAGCAATGGTGGGATTCAGCTCACAAACTTTGCCTATCTAAAAGGTCAGTGTCCAGCTTTTTCTATGGTTAACGGTGATAAATCTCCCTCAGAAGGAGACAAATACCCTCCTTCCTGTCCTAGACACCTGAGTCTGGATGAGAAGACTCTTCCTCTGGAGGAGTGTGTTTTTCTCTCCAATGACCGCAGGGAATACTGAAATGACTAGATTTTAGATAGCTAAAGTCAGGTAAGGTGAATCCCACCCTAAAAGGAATATGTATGGACAATCATTTGAAGAAGGAAAACTGGTTACTCACTGTACAGTAACTGTGGTTCTTCAAGATGCTTTGTCCACACAGATTCTGTGGTCCCCCTCCTGTGCTAACTCCCAGCCCTGTCGTAGGGGATTCTTATCGGTGAAGGAATGGAGTGGTGGTTGAAGCCGCCATACCCCTTATGCCCTCAGGTACAGTGGTCGCAAGGACACACTGGGTGCAGGCACAGCCCCAGTGGACACTGCTATTCAGAAAGAATCCAAGCTCCTGCACATGGGGCCTATGTGCACGTAGATGGGAATCTGTGTGGGCAACACATTTCGAAGAAGCACGGTTACTGTAGGGTAAGTAACCCTTCTTTTTTAAAGCTTTCAGAATGATGCTTTGTATAGTTGTGCACCATCAAATTTACTGTATAACCAAAGTTATTTTTAAAATTATCTGTAGTAGTTTTCCATCATGTAACCCGAGGTAATGGATGTGACACTACACAATATAAATATTTGAATTTTAAAAGTTGTCATATTATATGACACAGTATTTTACACTTTACAGTGAATTCACATACATGAGGAACCAGATGATTTTTAAGCTTCTAAAAGCACATCCACAATTACGTTTCCCTGTGGTTTTGCATGCTTACTTTTCATTCATTTGTTTTGTATAAGATTGCATTTGTTTGCTTTGATTTTTTGAGATTTCCTTTTGACTGTCGGGTCTATAGAACCTGATGCCATTTTAAGAGTATACATCTAAAATATATTAAAATATTGGCACACAAAACCCTTGGCGTATATTTATCATTTGGTTTGAGACATTCCTGAAAATACTGCTTTGAAAGCTTGTGAAGCTCGGTGTTGAGAAAATTGACTTCTACAGATCGTAACTGACAAATTATGATTTTAAAAGCAGTAGAGTGTATATATTTAGTATCTGTATAGGATTTAAAATTACTGCATTCTTTTCTTGTCATCTTCAAGATGCAGTATTCGCACAGCTTTGCACCATCTCAGTCTGTTGATTCAGAATCCTACAATAAAAGTTTTTACTGGTGGGGGAATTGCATTTGCCATCCCTCCTCCAGTCTCACTGTTGAAGTTGCCAAGGGCTCAGTGAGGAGACACAGCTGGCCTGTGTTAGACCTGGAAATTCCCATCATATTTTCCTGTAGGATTTGATTAAACACTTGAGGGCAAGAAGTGCAGTACCATGAAGCTAGATGCTTAGGAAATCTGGTTGCTGTGCAGTTGCTTATGTAGTTTAAATGAAGCTCTCTTAAATCTTCAGGGCAAAGATGATGTTTACGACCGTATGCTACTAGACTACTTCTTTTCTTATCATCAGTTCATCCATCTACTATGTCGAGTTGCAATCAACTGTGAAAAGTTTACTGAAACTTTAGTTAAAATGAGTAAGTATGAAGGTTAAACAGCCTAAGGATTTTTTTTTTCTCTATGATAATTGTGAGTGCTTCTCCATTAAGTTTTATATTCAAAATTTTTAAGAAAAAGCAGAGCTTGTGAAACTTCCCGCATTGATTGTTCTGGAAATTATTTTTATCCGAAAAACTGTATAATGTGTATAATGTAATGCAATCTCACCTACATGACAGTTGTGCTTCAAGCCTGTTCAGAAGGGAGCTCAGGCAGCCAGTGAGAATTCAGTCTCCTTGCTTTGAGAGCTTCACACAGGCCTCACTGAAGCTTTTTTTTTGGCAGTTGACATGGCTTTGGATCAGATCCTGAATCCTCAGCATCTCTGCCCATGGCATTAATTGGCAGTCTGCACAGGAGCATATAGGACCATCTAGACAGCCACTCATGGCACTCGTGCTGTTGTTACCAACCCGGGTTTATTTTGCTCCATAGTTTTGGTAATCATCACAACATTTAATTACGTTTATAAACATTTAGTCATGCAGTTTGTACCCGATACTTGTCTCAGCTCTACCAGTAGATACCAGCAGTATTTGGGTTTCTTCCTGTCATAATGTAAACTTTTTTTTTTGGTGTGTCAAGAAGGCATTCATGGCTTTATCTGTCTGACTACTCCAGCCATTCAGCTGTTTCTCTGAAGGAGACCATCCTGCCTTGAGTTGCCCCATTAAGTCCATCTGTTACTCCAAAGGCACATAATTGGGTTTTTAATTTTGTCTTCCACCACGGACCCTAGGATAAGCTGAGTTACCCGGTGTGGTAGGTGCAGATGCACAGACAGAGGTGTCACACAAATAGTTATGACATGGACATGCAGATTGGGAGCTGGCTCACTTCAGTTGTCTAAAAATTAAGACGTGTAGCCAGATTTTTCCTCTGTAGACAGCAAAAAGATGTAGATCCCTTCCAAGAGATATTTATCTTCTGATTCTTAAATATTTTAAGCAGAGTGAGCTACCTTCTGAAAATACCCACTTGTTTTCTTGTTTTCTTTCCCTGTAGAAGCTGGCTAGCTACCTATGATTAAATACCACTTCTCAACAAATAAAACTATACCAAATTAATCTTATCCAAAGAGTGGTGATAGAAGAATGTTCTTTTGATCCCCGAATCACCCCTTTGCTCATTGTTTGTCAGGCTCTTCCAACTGTAACTCTGGCATTATTAATATTTACTAGAGGTTGTGTTAGTTGTACAATGTAGTGGCAATGTGTATCGTTTGCTGTTGGTCAGTGTGTCCCTTAACTCTTTCATGGTCTAGAGGTTAATAATGAAGATTATGTTTTAAAAATTACATGCTGTTTTTAAAAAAAGATAATTAAAATCTTTAAGTTCTGTAGCTGACCAGTTAGTTGAAAATGTAAGACAGTAATAAAATAAACCTACTTAAAAACCCAGCACTAAAGACAGCTCGTCAGGATTTTTACATTTCACAGACATGCTGAAGGGATACATGTATTTATTAAATGTACTGTTAAAACTTCACAGACAATAGGTCTTTCTGATTGTAAAAAATACTTAGAAATGTGGTCTTACAAAATGTTAGGGCACCTTGGTACTGCTTTTATTAAGTGAGTATCTCCCAACAAAATTCTCACACAATAACTTACTTTCTTATAAAATTTCAGGTGTCCTAGTTGCATATGAAGGTTTACCACTTCATCTTGCGTTATTCCCCAAACTTTGGACTGAGCTTTGTCAGACGCAGGTAAGAATCAGTGGGTTTGAGAACTAACAGAGTGGAAGTACGGGCAAAATACAATTAATGTGAATCAGAGGTTAACACATAGATTTTAACTAGTGAGTATTGCTTAATCATTCAAAATAGTAGCATTTTGAATAGAAAATACCTCTGCTTCTGTTGCCTGTCATCTGATAAAACCTGCTAAATCAAGTATAAAAATGTAGCAAATTGTATTTGCTCCTAGTACACTCTAGGTTGTGCAAAAACTTACACACCAACTTCACCCAGTAAACAATATTGTCAGGATGGTAGTCTGTGCAGTGTACAAAAACTACTTCATCCTGCCTCGCTCGATTTCCAGCTTTTTATGTAGGGTAAATGATGATATGATGAAATAAAATTTGGGAGATCACCAAATCTAGGTATCACTGACCCTGTAGTTGGCTCACAGATTAGGAGACACCAGCCCTTCAGATACATACTGGTCATGATCAACTGGCATTACTGTGGAATCAACTTCATAAAAGGAAAATGTGAAATAATAATTGACAGTAATTAATTTGTACAATTTACTGATACCTGATAGACCTGGAATATTTTTATCTGTAAGAATGGTCCAGTATGAATTACGAACATGAGTGGGCCTGGCTTCATGTCTCCAGCTGAGACAACTGTGCTACCGGAGCGCCATACTTGCTGTGATGACCATGCAGTGTTCTCTCTCTCTCTCTCTCTCTCTCCCCTCACCAGTCTGCAATGTCAAAGAACTGTGTAAAGCTCCTCTGTGAAGATCCAGTTTTTGCAGAATATATAAAATGTATTCTGATGGACGAAAGGACCTTCCTCAACAACAACATTGTATACACCTTTTTGACGCATTTTCTTCTAAAGGTAGGTGGTCTTTTAGTGATAACGTCTATTTCAAGAAATGCTGTTTTCACAGTTCCATTTTTCTCTGGTTTTTAAAAAATGTTTCTTTCACAGGTCCAAGGGCAGGTGTTTTCTGAAGCAAACTGTGCCAATTTAATCACTACTCTAATTACAAATCTAATAAATCAATATCAAAGCCTAGAATCTGACTTCAGCAACCAGAGAGTTGAAATTTCCAAAGCAAGCTCTACTTTAAATGGGGTGAGTCTTTTCTAAGCCATTCAAATACCAGCATCATTTAGGCAGCAGTTTATTTTCTATGGAAACTCTTCCGTGCCATGTGCCAGGTTCTAATTAAAGAGGTGGGCATTGTTAGCTCTGCTTTGTGTGTCAGCTGGACTCCTGGTGAGAGCACTGGAGGCTACCTGAACTGTCTGGCTGGGTGTGTTAACCCCTGCCAAGAAAACAGATGTAAATTTACAGAGCAGCAATCCAAGCTGTCCAGAATTGTCCACTCCGTCTCATCCTGCGCACCAGACATACTTGGGTCTCCCAAGCTAATGGTGGGGACTGTAAGACTGGGAGGAGGGCAGCTTGTTGTGGAAGACGAGTCATGCAAAGATCTGTAATCATAGAAATGTTCTAACTCAGAAAAATATTTAATCTCACAGTGAGCAGCATATTTAGAATTTGATCTTTTGGTTGTTCAGAACTTGTTAAAGCCTCCGCTTTATTGCACAGATCTGTCTGCGTGTAGCATTAATCAAACAGGAGTTTGGAGTAAGGCTAGTTATGTTTGTTTACTTCTTTGTTTTTAGGACCTCCGAGCACTTGCCTTGCTGCTTTCAGTGCACACTCCCAAACAGCTCAATTCAGCCCTTATTCCAACTTTACAAGAGCTTTTAAACAAATGTAGAGCTTGTCAACAACAGAGGAACTCATTACAAGAGCAAGAAGCCAAAGAAAGAAAAACTAAAGGTTTGCCTTCTATAACTGTAACAATTCTAAGGTTTTACAAAGTTTTCCAAAATGAGTGTTAACACACTGTTTTCTTACCACTGTAGGGTGGGTCACTTCTTGGCTCCAAACCCAACACTACACAAGAAATATTATTTTATTATGGAGCTAAAATTACATTAATTTTCTGTAAGGAAACAAGCCTTTACTGAAGTACTGTGTTTAATATGGAAAAGGATAAAAATGTAAAAAGAAAGGCCTATTACTTGGGTGTATGGCATGAAAAGAATGCCTTTTCCCTAAGTGAGTTGTCATTTTTCTTACAGATGATGAAGGAGCTACTCCTGTAAAGAGAAGACGGGTCAGCAGTGATGAGGAGCACACTGTAGATAGCTGTATCAGTGATATAAAAACTGAACCCCGGGAGGCATTGACCCCAACAAGCACTTCAGATAACGAGACACGAGACTCTTCGATCATTGATCCAGGCACTGAGCAAGATCCTCCTTCCCCTGAAAACAGTTCTGTCAAAGAGTACAGAATGGAAGTTCCATCTTCATTTTCAGAAGAGATAATGCTAGCAACACGGTCACAGCACACAGAAGAGCAGGCAGGAAATGGTAAATTTGAAGAATGCAAAGAATTTAAAGACCTGCAGGCTTCCAAGGATTCCATTGGGGCTGAGGAGGACTTGGAGTTTCCTTCCACATCGATTTCAGCAGTTTTATCTGACCTCGCAGATTTGAGAAGCTGTGATAGTCAAGCCTTACCATCCCAGGACCCTGAAATTAGTTTATCAATCAGTTGTGGCCATTCCAGAGGACTTTTTAGTCACATGCAGCAGCATGACATTTTAGACATCCTGTGTAGGACCATTGAGTCTACAATTCATGTGGTCACAAGGATATCTGGAAAAGGAAACCAAGCTGCTTCTTGACATTAGATGGAGCATGTCTGCTTTTAAGTCTTTTATTTTTTCTCCCCCCAAAAATGCTGTTTGTATAAGTTTTGCTTAATTCTGTTTTGTGCTTCAGTTTGTCCAGTGCTCTCTGCTTGAATGGCAAGATAGATTTATATGCTTAATTCTTGGTCAGGCAGAACTCCAGATTTTTTTTTGTTTGTTTGTTTGGGTTTTTTTGTTTTGCATTTACCGTACACTTTCTTAAAGGGCAATCAGATAATGGATATGTTTTATGTAATTAAAGAGTTCACTGTAGTGGCTTTCATTTAATATGGCTGTCTGGGAGAACAGGGCCTCCTTTGCCCTGTATGATGTAATTTAAACTTATGGCATTTTTACTGTGTATAATATGGTGTCCTCTGTGCCAGTTTTGTACCTTATAATAGAGGCAGATTGCCTCAGATCGCTGTGGTTCTTATTATCAAAATTAAGTTTACTTGTATACTAAACAACCACAAGAAATTTGATTCTGTAAAGAATCCTCTTTAGCTGTGGCCTGGCAGTATATATATGGTGCTTTATTTAACAGAATACCTGTGGAGGAAATAAAGCACACTTGATGTAAAATTAATTGTTTTATTTTTATTGACATGATCAATTGCTATTCTGTGCACTTCATTAAACTGATTGTGATGACTTTTCATTTGTTTATAATATGTTGCTTCGGTCTTTGGATTTCTCATCAAAGACAACTTCAAAAATGAAACAGCTGCAGAAATGATCAAATGTATATAATTGATGTAAATGCTGGTCCTTTTCTGGTTTACTCTGCATGAATGTTCAGTCACACGGTTGAGAGGGACTGGTGGTTGTTTACTTTTTTCCCCGCTTTGTTAGAACATGAAATGATGTCAGAAGCCAGTGGAGCTTTTCATGTTATTGCCCTAATTTTAACCTGTGTTAGTCATATTTTTCTCCTGTGCCATTTGCAAACTTTTTTCCCTCTACCTATGCTGCAGCTGGAGCCCACTCCATCTGGCTGCGCTCCCTTGCTTTCTTGACTTCACCCCCTGAAATGCTGGAATGACTTTATTGCCCTTCCCTGTCACATTTCCTCCTGTTATTTCTGCACAATATCCATTTCCTATGTGATCTTTCAGACTGTCAATGATACTGGTTTTAATAACTGATTAAACTCCATTTTCAGCTTCATTTTCCAGTCGCTTAGCTCATTTGTTTTTCTCTTGTCTCCATATCATACCTATCTTGGTCTTTTCTCTTCCAAATTCCTTCATTCTGTCTACCATTTCATGTAGTTTAGCATCATTTGCTTCTCCACTATTCTGTTACGTGATGCTTTTGTAATTCCTCTTACTCTCTTTGAATCTACTCTCATTTTTTTTAACCTTCTGTAATTAATCATTTCTGTCCTTAAAGATTACACTTTATGTTCCGTTTTATTATCACTTTTATTCTTGCATTTACAGACATTATATTGATGCTGATGAGTGCTTAACTTGGTCTTCTTATTATTCAGAAATGAAGTAATTATGTTTTCACTCTCTTTTTCTAATTTTATTAACCTTTCTGATCAACTTCTCCATAGATTGTAACTTCAGAGAAATCATCAACAGCCTCTAGTCAAAATTTCTACGTAATGAATATTGGAATTTATCTATCAAGTCTTCTACCAAGCCTACTAATGGTTTAGGAAGATACTCGCCTATCACTCTAAAAAATCTTCAAGAGATGAAGCAGTGATTATAAGCCTTTGGTGAGTAGTCTCAGTTAATTACCTTCAATAAAAACATGCATCTGATTTTTGGTATGTATGTTGTTGGTCTTCACCTTTCAGCTATAGTACTTTGTTGGCTTTAGCTTCTCACACTCCAGGATGAGATCACACCATAATTCTTGTTACTAAAGAGTAGGATTCTGTTTTTTGTGATTTTTTTTTTTCCCCTCATTATTTTGAACCTGTTTTTGAAGTGTATACCAAGTATAAGCAGTGTTTAATAATTATGTCATAAATGATATACAAGCAATACACCCTTCACTCTCTCTGGACACCCTAAACCAGAAGCAATGCAACGCTTAGTAACCAGCCTGTACGTCTGTCTTGTCACTGTGAGGTGTTTGTTCTTGTTACTACAACAAACCTCACCAAAGTTCAAAGGGGGTAACTGACTGCAAACTCTTGAGGGAAAACCCGTGCCTGTAGAAAAGGGCAGCACATCTTTTATCTCCTTCGTGATGTAAGCTTATGTATGCTAAGGTTGCCATATGTTGGTGTCCTGTAAAAATAAAATATATAGGACTTAACTTCTATACAAACTCATTTAGTTTGGCAGTATCAGTTAATGTAGAAAATAAACTGCATGTAAAAACATGTATTTTATTGAGCCAACCATGTTTTCCAAAGGCAGCTTGACCTTTTTTGGTCTATATGTTTCAAGTTGCATACTTAATACACTTTTTATAAAGCATTTGAAAATTAAGTTATCCTAGCGAACCTCAGCATGGTTTAACTAAGATTAACAATTCTTTATTTTCAACATCCCAAGTGCTCTTCTGTAAAATTTCTCTACCAAACAGTTGCTCACTTTAATTTGAGCTACAGAATTGCAGAGGGCCATAAATCACTTCAGTAGAAGGTTTACAGAATTGCAAAAGGAAAGTATTATTATTGTTTGTTTCTTCCAAAATAAATTTCAAGCTGAGGTTAAGTAAAGGAGTACAGTGCATGCAGACTTAGCAGTGGGAACTGTCATACCAACCCCCAATTACAAGATATTATCATGTCATCATCATTATTACATTACATTGTTAATTATCT